AATTCACAATTCAGAATTCACAACTCACAACTCAAAATTCAAAATTCACAACTCATAATTCATAATTCACAATTCAAAATGAAAAATTCACAATTCAAAATCCACAATTCAAAATTCACAATTCAAAATTCAAAATTCATAATTCACAATTCACAATTCACAATCCAAAACTCACAATTCATAATTCAACACTCACAATTCAAAACTCAAAATTCACAACTCAAAATTCACAACTCACAATTCAAAATTCACAATTCAAAACTCACAACTCACAATTCAAAATTCACAGCTCATAATTCACAATTCACAATTCAAAACTCACAATTCAAAATGAAAAATTCACAATTCAAAATCCACAATTCACAGCTCACAATTCACAATTCAAAATTCACAATTCAAAATTCATAATTCATAATTCACAATTCAAAATTCACAATTCATAATTCACAATTCATAATTCAAAATTCACAATTCACAGCTCACATTCCACACTTAAAAATTCACAATTCACAATTCAAAATTCACAATTCACCACTCAAAATTCATAATTCAAAATTCACAATTCAGAATTCACAATTCAGAATTCACAACTCACAACTCAAAATTCAAAATTCACAACTCATAATTCATAATTCACAATTCAAAACTCAAAATTCACAATTCAAAATCCACAATTCACAGCTCACAATTCACAATTCAAAACTCAAAATTCACAATTCACAATTCAAAATTCACAATTCACCACTCACAATTCACAATTCAAAATTCACCACTCACAATTCGTAATTCAAAATTCAAAATTCACAATTCATAACTCACAGCTCACAATTCAAAATTCACAATTCAAAACTCACAATTCAAAATTCACCACCTACAATTCAAAATTCACAACTCAAAATTCAAAAATCACAATTCAAAATTCACAATTCAGAATTCACAACTCACAACTCAAAATTCAAAATTCACAGCTCATAATTCATAATTCACAATTCAAAACTCACAATTCAAAATGAAAAATTCACAATTCAAAATCCACAATTCACAGCTCACAATCCACAATTCAAAATTCACAATTCAAAATTCACAATTCAAAATTCACAATCCAAAATTCACAATTCAAAATTCACAATCCAAAATTCACAATTCAAAATTCACAATCCAAAATTCACAATTCACAGCTCACATTCCACACTTAAAAATTCACAAATCATAATTCAAAATTCACAATTCATAATTCACAATTCAAAATTCACAATTCACAATCCAAAACTCACAATTCATAATTCAAGACTCACAATTCAAAATTCATAATTCACAACTCAAAATTCNCAAGTTGAAAAATTCCTCATTTCAGAAAGCTGAGAATTCCCATTTTTGGGAAGCTGAGAATTGGGGTTTTTTTGGGGGTTTTTTGGGGTTTATTTTTTAGGAATTGTGTACCTGGCTGCTCCTGGAGATCAGGGGTTTGTTGGGAAGCTGAGAATTGGGGTTTTTTGGGGTTTTTTGGGGTTTATTTTTTGGGAATTGTGTACCTGGCTGCTCCTGGAGCTCAGGGTTGTTTTGGGAAGCTGAGAATTGGGGTTTTTTGGGGTTTTTTGGGGTTTTTTGGGTTTATTTTTTGGGAATTGTGTACCTGGCTGCTCCTGGAGGCCCTGCTGGACTCGTGGCAGTCGTAGCCTGGGGAGGGGCTGGAGCAGCCACAGGAGCCCTCGGCCACAGCACGGACCTTGCCCTGCACAGAACAGCACAACAACAGCAAAAATTCACAACTCACAGCTCACAACTCAAAATTCACAACTCAAAATTCACAATTCATAATTCACAATTCATAATTCATAATTCACAACTCACAATTCACAATTCACAATTCATAATTCACAGCTCACAATTCATAATTCACAATTCACAACTCACAATTCACAATCCAAAACTCACAATTCATAATTCAAGACTCACAATTCAAAATTCGTAATTCACAACTCACAACTCAAAATTCAAAATTCACAACTCACAATTCACAATTCAAAATTCAAAATTCACAGCTCACAACTCACAATTCAAAATTCACAATCCAAAACTCACAATTCATAATTCAAGACTCACAATTCAAAATTCAAAACTCAAAATTCACAACTCACAGCTCACAATTCAAAATTCACAATTCACAATCCAGAACTCACAATTCAAAATTCACAGCTCATAATTCACAATTCACAATTCAAAATGAAAAATTCACAATTCAAAATCCACAATTCACAGCTCACATTTCACAATTCAAAATTCACAATTCAAAATTCACAATTCAGAATTCACAATTCACAATTCACAACTCAAAATTCACAACTCACAGCTCACAATTCAAAATTCACAACTCATAATTCATAATTCACAATTCAAAACTCACAATTCAAAACGAAAAATTCACAATTCAAAATCCACAATTCACAGCTCACAATCCACAATTCAAAATTCACAATTCAAAATTCACAATTCACAATCCAAAATTCACAGCTCACATTCCACACTTAAAAATTCACAATTCATAATTCAAAATTCACAATTCACCACTCACAAATCATAATTCAAAATTCATAATTCAAAATTCACAATTCAGAATTCACAATTCAGAATTCACAATTCAGAATTCACAATTCAGAATTCACAATTCAGAATTCACAACTCACAACTCAAAATTCAAAATTCACAACTCATAATTCATAATTCACAATTCAAAATGAAAAATTCACAATTCAAAATCCACAATTCACAGCTCACAATTCACAATTCAAAACTCAAAATTCACAATTCACAATTCACAGCTCACATTCCACACTTAAAAATTCACAATTCACAATTCAAAATTCACAATTCACCACTCACAAATCATAATTCAAAATTCACCACTCACAATTCATAATTCACAACTCACAATTCATAATTCACAATTCACATTTCAAAATTCACAATTCACAAATCATAATTCAAAATTCACAATTCATAATTCACAATTCAAAATTCACAATTCACAATCCAAAACTCACAATTCATAATTCAAGACTCACAATTCAAAATTCAAAATTCACAACTCAAAATTCACAACTCACAACTCAAAATTCACAATTCAGAATTCACAACTCAAAATTCAAAATTCACAACTCAAAATTCAATATTCATAATTCAAAATTCACAATTCAAAACTCACAACTCACAATTCAAAATTCACAACTCAAAATTCAAAATTCACAATTCACAACTCAAAATTCGTAATTCACAATTCAAAATTCCAAATTCCCAATTCACAACTCAAAATTCACAGCTCACAATTCACAACTCAAAATTCCTGAGAATTCATTAAAAAAACCCCTCAAATAAAAAAAAAATTTAAAAAATAAAAAAACCCACTCCAAATTCCTGAGAATCCAAGGAAAAACCTCAAATGTACCAAAATTCTTGAAAATCCAAGGGAAAAATAATCTGAAATTATCCTAAAATTCCTGAGAATCCAAGGGAAAACTGGAGCCTGGATTTTGCTTTTAGAGAGTAATAAAAAAT